ATTACACAAGTTCTGACGACTGGGGGGTACCCAAAAAAAATTACCTTTTAAATTACAGAGTTTTCCTTACACTTCCTTTTTGGGCATGCGCGGAATGAAGAAAAACCTAAAAAGGACAAGCTGGCAAAAAAAAAAAAATTCTGTCAAGGGTCATAACCCTCCTTGGCTATCCAAAATGGGAATAAAAGGTTTGACTTTAGTTCATCTTAAAGCTAAACTTTACTCATAACAATTGATAAAAAAATAATAAAAAATAATATTTATGCCATCAAAATCAGTGTGTGCTGTAAATTGTTCCAACCATTAGCTCCTGCTACTTTTTTGCTGGAGGCATCCATTTTGTTGAAGCCCAGAGCCCTTTGATTGGCAGTCAAAGCGGACTAAACCCTTCCTATGCTTTTCAGCCAGAGGAAGCAGCCAACTGGCATGGGGTGCTGCCACATGTGATCAGTTATAACACCAGTCCATTTGTTGAAGGTTTGACAGTTTGGTTGAGAAAACACAAGCAAATGTGACAGTTAATATAACTGGCATGTCTGGAATATAACTGGTTTTTAAAACTGTTCAGTCGATGGATTTAGTTCCGCTTTAATCCAGACTGTCAGCAGATCGGCCTCTACAAATTCACGCACAGTGCCTAAAAAATGCCAAAATGGAGAGCAACTGAGCATGTGCAGAGCAAGATGATAGTGTTTTACTGGATTTAACCTCTTCCCAACCACCCTATAGCAAAAATACTGCTACAGGGCGGCATGTGTGTGCGCAAATCACGTATATATATATATGTGTGATTTGCATTTTTCGCCCTACACACTGTCCTCGGGCCCCTTCTCTTCTCCATCTACACCTCCTCCCTTGGCCAACTCATACACTCTCACGGCTTCAACTACCACCTCTATGCCGACGACACACAAATCTATCTCTCAACCCCCCACCTCACCCCCTTGGTCTCCGCCCCGAATCATACACCTACTGAGCCGACATATCAGACTGGATGTCGCTCCACTTCCTTAAATTGAACCTCTCCAAAACCGAGTTTCTTGTCTTCCCCCCAGCCCGGACACCACCCCCCATTGACTTCTCCATCACAATCCAACAACGCCACCATCAAACCCGCTCCGCAGGCCAGAGTACTTGGTGTCATTCTGGACTCCAACCTATCCTTCCAGCCCCAAGTCCAATCTTTAACAAACTCATGCAGACTCCACCTCCGCAACATCGCAAAATCCGCACGTTCCTAACCCCAGAAACCACTAAACAGCTCATCCACTCCCTCATCATATCACGACTCGACTACTGCAACTCCCTCCTCACTGGCCTGCCTCGCCGCTGGCTATCCCCGCTTCAGTCCATCCTGAATACGGCTGCCAGACTCATTCACCTTTCCAACCGCTCCATCTCCGCCACCCCCTCTGCCAATCCCTCCATTGGCTTCCGATTGCGCAACGGATCAAATTCAAATCCTAACGCTGACGTACAAAGCCGTCCACCATACTGCCCCGAACTACATCACCGACCTAATATCCAAGTACCCGCCCAACACGCACACTCCGCTCCTCACAAGACCTCCTTCTCTCTAGTTCCCTGGTCTCCTCCTCCCATGCCCGCCTCCAGGACTTCTCCAGGGTGTCACCCATCCTCTGGAACTCCCTGCCCCAACCCATCAGATTATCACCTACTCTCCTCTCCTTTAGGCACACCCTGAAAACCCACCTCTTCAGGGAAGCCTACCCCACCCCCTGCTAACTTGCAGAGCTCCTCCAATCTTCACCTACCACCCCATCCCCCACAGCTATCTCCTCCTGTGCCACCATTCCCCTCCCTCCTAGATTGTAAGCTCGAAAGAGCAGGGCCCTCGATCCCCTCATGTTTTGCATTGTATTGGTATTGTTCTGTCACATGTTCTGTCCCCCTTTGTAATGTACAGCGCTGAGCGAACTATTGGCGCTTTATAAATACTGTATAATAATAATACCTGTGCCGCCATTCGTGGCTGTCAATCACCCGGTCCCGGCCTGTGATTACTCGCCGGTGCCCCGGCGATTACCTAGAATCTCCGACGGGGAGGAGAACTGTTTTGTTTACAAACAGTTCTGCTCCCTGTCAGCTCGGGCATACTGCTCTGGATGGCTGTGCACAGCACAGCCATTCAAAGCAGATTGCGTACAGTGAAGCACACACCGCACCTATAGTAAAACACACCCAGCACTGATCGCTGTAATGGTCTCACTGGGGATGTCAGTGACACCAAGTCAGTTCCCCCCAGTGTCAGAATGTCTGCCATAGTCCTGCTTTAAGTCGCTGATCGCCCCCATTACTAGTAAAAAAAGAAAAATCCCAGTATACCGTATTTTTCGCTCCATAAGACGCACCTAGGTTTTAGAGGTGAAAGACAAGAAAAAAAAAAATATTCTGAACCAATGGACTACAGACACAGTACAGGGAATGACCAGAGACTGCGGACACAGTACAGGAGATGACCAGAGACTGCGGACACAGTACAGGAGATGACCAGAGACTGCGGACACAGTACAGGAGATGACCAGAGATTGCGGACACAGTACAGGAGATGACCAGAGACAGCGGACACAGTACAGGAGATGACCAGAGACTGCGAACACAGTACAAGAGATGACCAGAGACTGCGGACACAGTACAGGAGATGCCCAAAGACTGCGGACACAGTACAGGGGATGACCAGAGACTGCGGACACAGTACAGGAGATGACCAGAGACTGCGGACACAGTACAGGAGATGACCAGAGACTGCGGACACAGTACAGGAGATGACCAGAGACTGCGGACACAGTACAGGAGATGACCAGAGACTACGGACACAGTACAGGGATGGTCAGAGACTGCAGACAAACTATAGGAGACAGTCAGAGACTGCGGACATAGTACAGGAGATGACCAGAGACTGTGGACATAGTACAGATGACCAGAGACTGCGGACATAGTACAGGAGATGACCAGAGACTGCAGACATAGTACAGGAGATGACCAGAGACTGCAGACATAGTACAGGAGATGACCAGAGACTGCAGACATAGTACAGGAGATGACCAGAGACTGCGGACATAGTACAGATGACCAGAGACTGCGGACATAGTACAGGATATGACCAGAGACTGCGGACATAGTACAGGATATGACCAGAGACTGCGGACATAGTACAGGATATGACCAGAGACTGCGGACATAGTACAGGAGATGACCAGAGACCTGCGGACATAGTACAGGAGATGACCAGAGACTGCGGACATAGTACAGGAGATGACCAGAGACTGCGGACATAGTACAGGAGATGACCAGAGACTGCGGACACTATAGTACAGGAGGATGACCAGAGACTGCGGACATAGTACAGATGACCAGAGACTGCGGACATAGTACAAGGATATGTACCAGAGACTGCGGACATAGTACAGGAGAATGACCAGAGACTGCGGACATAGTACAAGGAGATGACCAGAGACTGCAGACACAGTACAAGAGATGACCAGAGACTGCGGACACAGTACAGGGAGATGACCAGAGTACTGCGGACACAGTACAGGAGATGACCATAGAATGCGGACACAGTATAGGAGAGAGATGACCAGAGACTATGCGGACACAGTACAGGAGAATGACCAGAGACTGCGGACACAGTACAGGAAGATGACCAGAGACTGCGGACACAGTACAGGAGATGATCACAGACTGCGGACACGGTACAGGAGATGATCAGATGACTGCGGACACGGTACAGGAGATGACCAGAGACTGTGGACATAGTACAGGGAAAATACCAGGGACACAGTACAGATGACCAGAGACTGCAGACAGTGCAGGAATAACCAGAGACTGCAGACAGTGCAGGGGATGACCAGAGACTGCAGACAGTGCAGGGGAATGACCAAGACTGCTGACCTTTGGGGAGGGAGGGGGAGCGGGTACCTCAATTTGACAGGTACCCGCTCCCACTTCAGCAGCGTTGTCTTTCCCTCTTCTTCCCGGGGCCGGGTGCCCCACTGCGCATATGCGCGAGAAGCGCTGCGCTTTGTGAATGGCCCGGCGCCTTCTGGGACCTGTCATGTGTCCCAGAAAAAACACCTGGACCATTCACAAAGCGCAGCGCATTATGCGCAGTGTTGGCACCCGGCTGTCACAGAAGCCAGCGCGGGAAGGCTGTGCAGCGCTGGAGCGAGGAACAGGTAAGGCCTTGCAGGAGACAACAGCTGAGGCGGGCCGGCCCGGTATTCTGACATGGTGGCGGCAGTGAAATACCGGACCCGGCCGCTTTATATTCGCTCCATAAGACGCACTGACATTTTCCCCCCCCTTTTTTGGGGGGAAAAAAAAGTGCGTCTTATGGAGCGAAAAATACGGTATATACCGCCATTCGTAAACAGTATAGCTTTCATGTAAATCAATTAATTTACACGTACTGGGATTTTTTTAGCAAAGACATGGAGCAAAATACATTTTGATGACGAAATTTTGATTTTTTTTTACGTTTTTTTTACTGGACATGTTTAACACGCTTCCATACCAGGCACTTTTACCCACTTCCTGCCCAGGCCATTTTTCAGGTTTCAGCGCTCTCAACACTTTGAATGACAATTGCGCGGTCATACATAAACATTGTACCACAAACTAAAATCAACACTGGGGTTTTAATTTTTTTGCTAAATTAAAAAAAAAAAAAAAGCACGTTTTTTTCTTTGTTTTCTGTTATAAAAGTTTGCAAATAAATTAATTGTTCTTCATATATTTAGGCCAAGATGTATTCTGCTACATGTCTTTGTGGAAAATAACCCAAATTAGGATGTATTTTTTAGTTTGTAGGAAAGTTTATAGAGTTCACAAATTATGGTATATATCTGAATATTGATCAGTTCTAAAGTACTGATGGCCAATCTAATTTCTTGAGGTCCAAGAATGTCAGAACAGTACAGATATCCCCCAAATGTCAGGACAGGACAGATATCCCCCAAATGTCAGGACAGTACAAATATCCCCCAAATGTCAGGACAGTACAGATATCACCCCCAAATGTCAGGACAGTACAGATATCCCCCAAATGTCAGGACAGTACAACAGATATCCCCCAAATGTCAGGACAGTACAGATATCCCCCAAATGTCAGAACAGTACAGATATCCCCCAAATGTCAGAACAGTACAGATATCCGCCAAATGACCCCTTTTTGCAGAGTAGACAGTCCGACGTACTTCATAAGAGGCATGGCGAGTTTTTGAAGTTGTAATTTTTTTTGTCATAATTTTTCAGAAAATGAAAAAATTAAAAAAATTATTTTCACTATTTGGTTTTTTACATACTGTCCTCCACCAGTGCAGTACAGCGTCATCATATAACTGGCATGGCGGGGTGATCAGGGACACTGACTGTGACAGTATGAAAAAAAAAATTATCAAATTTTTTAAAATTTTCTTATTTTTTATTACTTTTTTAAATTTTTTTTTTAAGATATTTTTTTCATATTTCACTATGACCAAAGTAGCACAATGTTACCATAGTAACATTGTACTACTTTGGGGAAGTGATCAGTATTTTTTTTTTTTTTTTCACACAATTTGCTATAGCCAAAGAATTACTTTGCTATAAGCAAGCATTTACCTGAATGACATCGATTCATTCAGGTTTTTTTTTTGTGCTTAGCTGTGATTTGGCCACTGCTAATCACATGACACAGCTAGGCTGTGATTGGCCCAGCATGTGCATGCGATCGCTGTGACCATTCACAGCTAGACACACTAGTCTACAATGGATGGAATGAAAGGAAGCCATCCATTGTGTACAACTGTCATGTGACCTGCTGTGGATTGGTCACAGCAGGTCACATGGGGTACCGGCAACGGGGCGAGGTACACGGCGGTGACAGATCGCACCGCTGCGCGGCTGTCAGGGCTCCCAGGTGTGACCAGAGATGTGTGACTGACGCAGGGAAACGCAGACCTCAGAGATATGTTATAAACAATTTATTAACACTAACAATACAAACATAAACGCAGTGCAATACTAAAACATAATACAGTGCAAACAAACCAAACCAAACCACCCACAGATAACAGTACATACAAGCAAGCGTCGTCAGGCAGGCCGGGTCAATTATCAATAGGGCAGGTAGGTACAGGGGGGAGCAAGCGGAGATTGGTCAGGGTCACAAGCCAGGGATCAGAACAGGTAGCAAGCAGCGTGGTACAGAGGGTCAGACAGAGGGATGGTCAGGAGCGAGCCGGGATCAGAGCAGGAGAAGTCAGCAGCGGTTCAGAAACAGGATGCAGGACAGAAACAGGAATGCAGGGCCCAGGACAAACACACACCAAGGCAGAGTCTGTGGGTCTGGCCATCCCTTAAATACCCCAGCATAATCAGTTACAGGTGTTAGCTGGCTGAAAGTTGAGTCTCTGATTGCTGGGAACACCCGCTGGCCAGCCCTGGTACTGCAGATCAAAGGCAGCTGAGTCCCACCATTACTGGTGAATTCATTCCTGAGAGAGGGTGTGTTGCATTTGTCTGCTGAGCTCCAGAAAGGCCCGAGAAGCCTGGGCTAAAGTGCCCTGCCCAGCCCAGGCAGGATGGCGGATCCTGGGCCCAGCGAGGAAAGG